CTTCTACTTTTGAAAACTTTAAGGAGGAGTGGTATTAGGTCTTCACTAAATGTTTGATAAAATTCAGCAGTGAAACCATCTGGTTCAGGGGTTTTGTTCTTAGGTAGTTTTTTGATTACCAGTTCAATTTCTTTGCTGGTAATTGGCCTATTCAGATTTGTTTCTTCCTAGGTCAGCCTTGGAAGGTTGTATATTTCTAGAAAGTTGTCTATTTCTTCTAGGTTATCCAGTTTGTTACCATATCATTTTTCATAGTATCCTCTCATAATTCTTTGTATTTCTTTGGTATCTGTAGTGATTTTTCCTTTCTCATTTCTGATTCTGTTTATGTGTGTAGACTCTTTTTTTCTAGATAAGTCTCGAAAGGGGTATATCTATTCTGTTGATTTTCTCAATGAACTAGCTCCTGCTTTCATTGATTCTTTCTATTGTTTTATTCTTCTCAATTTTATTTATTTCTGCTTTCATCTTTACTGTGTCCCTCCTTCCACTGACTTTGGGCCTCATTTGTTCTTCCTTTTCTAGTTTCATTAATTGTGAGTTTAGACTGTTCATTTCAGATTGTTCTTCTTTCCTGAGGTATGCCTGTATTGCAATATATTTCCTTCTTAGCACTGCCTTCTCTGCATCCCACAGATTTTGCGGTGTTGATTATTGTTGTCATTTGTCTTCATATATTGCTTGATCTCTTTTATTTGGACATTGATCCATTGATTATTTAGGAGCATGTTATTAAGCCTCCATGTGTTTGTGAGATTTTTCATTTTCTTTGTGTAATTTATTTCTAAATTCATACCTTTTTGATCTGAGAAGCTGGTTGGTACAATTTCAATGTTTTTGAATTTACTGAGGTACTTTTTGTGGCCTTGTATATGACCTATTCTTGAAAATGTTCCATGTGCCCTTGAAAAGAATGTGTATACTGTTGCTTTTGGATGGAGTGTTCTGTAGATGTCCGTTAGGTCCATCTGTTCTAATACGTTGTTCAGTGCTTCTGTCTCTTTACTTATTTTCTGTCTGGTTCATCTGTCCTTTGGAGTGAGTGGTGTGTTGAAGTCTCCTAGAATGAATGCATTGCATTCTATTTCCCCCTTTAATTCTGTTAGTATTTGTTTCACATATGTAGGTGATCCTGTGTTGGGTGCATAGATATTTATAATAGTTACATCCTCTTGTTCAACTGACCTGTTTATCATTCTGTAATGTCCTTTCCTTCTTTGTCTCTTGTTACTTTCTTTGTTTTGAAGTCTATTTTGTCGGATACAAGTACTGCAACTCTTGCTTTTTTCTCCCTATTAGTTGCATGAAATATCTTTTTCCATCCGTTTACTTCCAGTCTGTGAATATCTTTGGGTTTGAAGTGAGTCTCTTGTAGGCAGCATATAGATGGGTCTTGTATTTTTATCCATTCACTGACTCTATGTCTTTTGATTGGTGCATTCAGTCCATTTACATTTAGGGCGATTATCGATAGGTATGTACTTATTGCCATTGCAGGATTTAGATTCGTGGTTACCAAAAGTTCAAGGGTAATTCCCTTACTATCTAACAGTCTAATTTAACTCACTTCATATGCTATTATAAACTCAACATAAAGATTCTTTTTTTTTACTCCTTTTTCTTCCTCCTCCATTCTTTGCATATTATGAATCACATTCTGTACTCTTTGTCTATCCCTTGGGTGACATCTAATTAGCCTTAGGAATATTTCCACCTATAGAAGTACCTCCAAATTGCACTGTAGAGGTGGTTTGTGGGAGGTAAATTCTCTCAGCCTTTGCTCATCTGAAAATTGGTTAATCCCTCCCCCAAATTTAAATGATAATGTTGCCGGGTAGAGTATTCTTGTTTTCAGGCCCTTCTGCTTCATTGTGTTAAATATATCATGCCACTCCCTTCTGGCCTGTAAGGTTTCTGTTGAGAAATGTGATGATAGCCTGATGGGTGTTCCTTTGTATGTGATCTTTTTTTCTCTCTCTAGCTACGTTTAAAAGTTTGTCTTTATCCTTGATCTTTGCCATTTTAGTTATTACATGTCTTGATGTTGTCTTCCTTGAGTCCCTTGTGTTGGGAGATCTGTGTACCTCCCTGGCCGGAGAGACTATCTCCTTCTCCAGATTGGGGAAGTTTTCAGCAATTACCTCCTCAATGGCACTTTCTATCCCTTTTTCTCTCTTCTTCTTCTGGTACCCCTATAATGCAAATATTGTTCCATTTGGATTGGTCACAGTTCTCTCAATATTCTTTCATTCTTAGAGATTCTTTTTTCTCTCTGTGCCTCAGCTTCTTTGTTTTCCTCTTCTCTAATTTCTATTGCATTTACCGTCTCTTCTGCTCCATCTAATCTGCTTTTAAATCCCTCCATTGTATGTTTCATTTCAGATATCAAATCTCTTAATGAATGAATCTCCATTTTAAATTTGTTTCTGAGTTCTTGAATATTTTTCTGTACCTCCATGAGCATGTTTATGATTTTTACTTTGACCTCTCAGGAAGACTGGTGAGTTGAGTTCCATTTTCATTTGGCCCTTTTCTGGGGTGAGATTTTGGTCTGAACCATGTTCTTTTGACTTTTCATATTTCTGTGTGGTGCCCTCTAGTGCCCAAGCAGCTCCAGTCTCTGGAGCTGCTCAGCCCCTAGAGTGAGGTTGGGGGTTGTAGGGGAGAGGTGCTGGTGCTTGCAGGGAGGAAAAAGCTGTTTCCTCATTCTCGGCTGCAGTGACTGTCTCCAGTATCAGAGCCAGTGGGCCAAGAACACACATGTAAGCCTCTGTGCTTTGTGTCTCTAGCTGTTGTAGGCAGGGCCTCCCTCTGGCTGGCCTGATGCCAGCCCAATGACTGCGGGTTTGCAAGCTGGTGCCAGTAGGCCAGGAGGAAGGCTCAACAGACTGCACGTCCCAGTGGTAGGCCTCGGAGCTGAGTAGGCAGCCAGGGGGATGGAGTGCCTGAAGCTCCTCAAAGTTCCCAACCTGCTGGGCAGAGCATGCCCAGACAACCTTGTCCAGCTATCCCTTCTCCCACGCTGCATGCTCCATGAAAATACTGCCCCTTCAGCAGCCCTCTCACTGCCAGGAAACCTCTCACACTGCCTGCCTTTCCTTTATCTCAATATCTCAAGCATTCCACCCATCCCAGCTCTCCAACCCCACCAATCTCCAGAGCACCACACAATGCAGGTTTGTGCTCCAAAGCAGACCTCCAGGGCTGGAAGTACAGCAGTTCCAGGCTTCCACCCGCTCCCTGCTTCTTTTCTCTTCCTCCTGTCAGTGAGCTGGGGTGGGGGAAGGGTCTGGGTCTCACTGGATCAAGGCTTTCATATGCTACCCTACTTCGTGAGGTCTGCTCTGTTTGTGAGGTCTGTATGCAGTCTGGTGCAGCCTTTTTTCCTGTTGCTGTTTTAGGGTTAGTTGTATTAAGTATATTTTCTTACTATATGTGGTTTTGGGAGTTCTCTGCCACACCTCTCATGCTGCCATCTTGAATCCATCTTGGTAGGTGAGGATTTTAATTCTTTTAAAACACCCTTTCTCCATCCTCTTAAAGTAGTTACCGTGTATCAGTTTTTTGTTAAATTATATTCAGTGTTTTTATCATCACATACTTTTTATATTTGAGGCAACTCTACATTAATGAGAATCTCATTTTGTACTCTCATCAAAACATTTTATGAGAGTCTGGCAAGCTAGCTAAAATGCTGGACCACTGACATATTCTCAGTTGGCCAAATTCCAAATCACTGGGATTTCTGAACTAAGAGAAACTGGATTAAAGAACTTCTACTGTTATTGCAAAATTATTTATCTAAATTTCTGTGAAGCAAACCACTACTGCAGTTACTTTAACACACCTTTATTACTCACTTATCTTTTGCCTTCTGTTTTTTAAAATCATTTTCACAACTAAGGATCTTTAAGATATTACACGCTGTATGTTACCAGTTTTTCTTTATATGGAATGTTTTTCAGCATTGACATCATTGCTCTACATACCATTTCCGAGAGGTTAATTTGAAATTAAAGTTACTCTCTAAAGTTCAATTTTAAGTTTTCTCTAAGTTGTGAGAAAGAACACCATCTGCATAGAGTAGATGCCTAAGAAATGTCTAAAGTTCTAAAGAACATTTTTGTAGTAGTTTATGCTCAGGAAAAATAGTTTGGTGAGTCATAATCTATTTTAATAAAGTACTATAGTAACTTGGAGGTATTCTACAGGAAGAAACATGAAGTCAGTTATAATAATTATTAAAGAACCACATTAACTCATTTTTATACCTCTTAACCTTAAAATACAATATTTTCACTCACCCAATGAAATAAAATTAGATATGTATGAAAAGGTTCTCAAATTCTCCCTCATTAAATTTTAAGGAATATGTCCTATTTACCTTGAATCATCATTGTCTAGAACAATGCCCGACTACTGTAGGTATGAAGATGTTCCATACAAATTCATTGGATAAATAAATGCAGTTTAATTTCATCTCAGAAAATTAACAATTGCTTGACAGAAAATACCAAATACCATATTAACACAGCATTACCAAGTATACATTTTATATTTTATTGATGGTGACATACACTAAAAATTTAATATGTATTAATTACCCATGGTCCCTTACAGATATTTAAAATTCTTTTTTACAAGCACAATCATACTGCAAAGTCATATCACACAAAATATTTAGAAGATAATTTAAAAAATAAAATACATTGAAGATATTGTGAATGATGATGAGATATTGAGATGGCTTATAACTCTGACTCGAAACATTCTAATTACATCCAAATAATAGACATTTTCCAAGAAGCTGATAATTCTAGGGGGGGAGCCCTTCTGAGGAAAGATTGAGTTTTCTTCTTATTAATGGCCAGATAGGCATATCTGAAGTCCTGTGTTCTTCAAAAGCTCATTCAGAGTCCACAAATGCAAGCAGAAGATTATGAAGTATTCTTAGGTGCACAAATGCCATCTTTTAAAAAATTTAAAGCATTTAGTTTGCCTTAAGATACATTTCTTGAACTGAAAACTGTTGAGATATCCAAATACTATCTTTTCATGTCTTCACAGCCTGGATCTGATCTGGTAACAAAAACGAAACAAAATTATCAGTCTCCACAGGGCAAAATCTATTTTCTAAAGTAATCCAAGGTAAATCTATAAGAATATGGTAGAAATGTATGCATACATCTGTTTTAAAGTACAAACTGTTTTAAAGTACAAAGATACTATAGTTTTGATGTTGTTGTAGATGCACATAGAGTCAACTACTTCTACAAGGCTTGTATGAAAAACAGCAGAACTTTGTCTTATCTCCTCTTTCTCCTTTCATAGGCAACTACTTCCAAGTCCGTCCCTATTTTAATAATGATGTGCCCTGCTGTGGGAATTATTTTCATCCACTGCACTGGGCTCTCAAGAGGCCTTTCAACAAAATGCATCATTCAGTTCTGGAAAACACAGCTTGATGATTTATTTGATAATTTCTCCCCTCTATTTTCTTTGTTCCCTCATTCTGAAATTCTTCTTTCTTGGATATTGGGCCTCCTAAACATGACACGTTTTTAAAAAATATTTTCTTTCCAGTTTTCATTCCTTACCTTTTTCCTTTCTGAGAGACTGCCTCTATTTTATCTTTTTATTGAGTTTTCCATTTTGACTATTCTATTATTATTTTCCAAGAATTAATTTTTTTTTTTTTATCTTTTGAATGTTCCTTTTCTAGTAGTTTTATCCTGGTCATATTCATGGAAGTAATATTGTCTCTTATTTCTTTAAGATATTATAATAGGTTTTTGAAATGTTCTAAATAAATTCTACTTCCTCTAACGTGCTTCTCTATGTTCTGTATTTTATGTTTTGATCCTCAAATGCCTCGTGATCCATTGCCATTGAGACAGGGACCATGGATGTAGTCAGAGTAGGGTGAGGGCCTCTGGAGGGGGCAGGGTGGGATATTTGCAGTCAGAGCAGTGTAACTACATGCAAAGAAACCCCCCTGCTAAAACCTATGTTAAACATTGAGCTCTAGAATCATTCTTCAGTGAAATCAGTTAATGTTCCCCAGATAAAGAAGAGTAGCACATGTTTTGTTATGCTAATCATTTGTAACCATGTGTAACATTCACTTTAGCATACTAAAAGGCCCAGTCCTATGTGCTGTCTTTCCTCCTCCAGATCTGACAAGGTGATTTTGCAAACTGAGCAACTAACTTAGCATGCAGACTCAGCTGTAGACAGCATGGTAAAAGGCAGGAAGAATTCCATCTTAAAGATAAGATTGCATTTTAACACCCAGGAAGTTCCAGAGGCAGGATTCTTTAGCAAGTAGACAATTCCTCAGCCCACCTTGGGGGCTGGGCAGGCAGCCTTTTGATGTGCCCCTGGACCAAGGTGCTGGTGTCCCAGAGAGAAATCAAGGCAGAAAATTCCTTACAGTTAATTTTTAATATTCAGGGACCACTTAACAAGTCCCCACCCCTAAGTTTTTTCAGGTTCTCGAAAAATCCTCAACTGCCTATAAAACCCCCTAGACAACACATCACCATGGGCTGTCTTGTCCCCTCCTGGCATGAGCGAGGAGCTCTGTCCTTCCACTGTATCTCTAAATAAAAGCCTGTACCTTGCTCTCCTACCTTGACTGTTGGTGAAACTCATTCTTCGGCTCTGCAAACAAGAACCCCGGCATCACCACCTTCTCGTAAGTATGAATGAACACTATAAAGCTGGTTGGAATTTTGATATGTGTGTGAGGCTGGTCAAATGTGATCTTCATTCTAGTGTATCTAGCTAACCATCTCCTTTGGCATCTCTGATATTAATAAATTTGGGTCTGTTTTCTGAGGCTGGTCTGATTTCTCAAAGGTGACTTTCTACCTCCTGCCTATGGCAGTGTCTCCTGGGGGGAAGTAGAAGGCAGAAGAGCATTATGGTTTTAAGTATGAAAACACCCAAGTAACTCCTCAGTTTAGCACTACCACACACAGCTGGGCTTCTTGCTCTCCAGTCCAGAGATACTCTGACTCGGCAGAGAATGAACCTTGAATCTTCTTTTGCAACAAGGAAATACAACTGTGCCTTCTCTTGTCAGCCCCACTGCACCCTTATTTCCAATTTCCATCAATATCTGAGCCTCTGAGGGGATCTGCAATGTAAATTAGAATGCTTTCCAGCTTTCCATTGCTAACTTACAGAATTCAGTTTTCTCAGGTCTGTTCACTCATTCAACATTCACCAGATATCCAGCTCCCAAATGTGATTGCCCTTTTTGTCACTCCCATTCTTTTGGCCCTTGTGAAAACTTTTGTCTTTACTGTTAGTGAGATTTGAGGAGAGGGTGAAACTAAGTGTATGTTAAACCCTCTATTTTTCATTGAAACAACCACATGCAAATTTATGAAAGTCTTATTTTAAGAAGAAACATTATTAACTTTCCCGTACAGACAAAGTGATAAAATGAATAAACTTCATTAGTCATGTGGGAGTATTTCTTTTTATAAATATGTTGAAAGATTAGGTGTCAGAGCTAGAAAACAAAATTCGGCAATGGTTTCTACATATATTCTCTGGTGGTTTTAAAAAATACTTCATCTACTCGGGGGTTCTTGTATTTGGGTTGTAATAGCTAGGTAATTTTTGGGAATCTTTCCAAAAGAGAATGGACTCATGGCACAAAATGTGTCATGTAACATTTTACCTTCAAATTTTCAACCTTAAGCTTAAAATAATAAGATTAAATTGGTCCAAAATGAACCAAATGCTTTATTTATTATGCTGGGAAATTTCAGAATTCTGGAAACAAAATGAACAGATGTAAGTTCAGAACACCTTTTAGTTAGATTTACATAAAAACCTTTAGCTAATGAGTTAACAGTTACAGGCACAGATTAGTCTTTTATACTTCTGCTACCTATTTTGCAAAATAGGTTTTTATCTCTTTTCAAATCCAGAGAGAGAGGGGTATCAATATATAAATTATTTTCCATTACATAGGAAATGTAAACAAAGGGTGTCCCATTCAAAGCCAAATTATTCACTTTTTAATTTTTACTGCTTCCTCCTCTCTAAATAGAGAAGTTAGGTAAAAGGGTAGATTTAACATTTATTGAGTATTTTCTTATGTTAGGTGAAGGTTCCCCACCAGTAAGATGGCAAACTTCCGGCTTCTCTTCGGGGTCCTCAGTTCCTGCCGGCGCCACCTGAAGCCCAATCACCTCTCACCCCCCTCCCAATCCCAGCACCTAGCCAACAGCCACCAGCCCCGTAGAAGTGACACCTCAATCAATTCATGCCCCCTCCTATATAACCCAGCACCTTTCCCTAATAAAGCGGAACTCTCCGGTGAATTGCTGCTATGTGTCGCTCCTTTCCTTTCATTGGTGCCGAAACCCGGGAGACGGGACACCCCAACTGGGCCCCGTCTTCCCCCGACACCAGCAGCAGCTTGCCCTCGTCCTCTTTTTCCGGCGCTGGCTCATCACACTCACCACTCCTCTCTGGCCTTTAGGTAAGTTTTCCCCCCGGAGTGGGCCACTCTTCCCCGAGCTATCGCAGTGCCATTGACCGTGATCGTCCGGCAAGGCCCTGACGCTCGGGGATGAGGAGGGAACGCTCCCCGCCTCAGGCCTTCACGGCTGCGGCGGACCCTCAGGCCCCTCCTCCAAAAGCCATAAATCCCCGCCTCAAGCCTTTACGGCTGCGGCGGACGCTCAGGCCCCTCCTCCGACAGTCATAAACGCATTCACCATCCCTTCCATCAGTGCTGAAAGTTTTTAAGCAAAATTTCCCCGGGGTGGGCCACTCTTCCCCGAGCTATCGCAGTGCCATTGACCGTGATCGTCCGGCAAGGCCCTGACGCTCGGGGATGAGGAGGGAACTCTCCCCGCCTCAGGCCTTCACGGCTGCGGCGGACCCTCAGGCCCCTCCCCAAACAGCCATAAATCCCCGCCTCAAGCCTTTACGGCTGCGGCGGACGCTCAGGCCCCTCCTCCGACAGTCATAAACGCATTCACCATCCCTTCCATCAGTGCTGAAAGTTTTTAAGCAAAATTTCCCCGGGGTGGGCCACTCTTCCCCGAGCTATCGCAGTGCCATTGACCGTGATCGTCCGGCAAGGCCCTGACGCTCGGGGATGAGGAGGGAACTCTCCCCGCCTCAGGCCTTCACGGCTGCGGCGGACCCTCAGGCCCCTCCCCAAACAGCCATAAATCCCCGCCTCAAGCCTTTACGGCTGCGGCGGACGCTCAGGCCCCTCCTCCGACAGTCATAAATCCCCGCCTCAGGCCTTCACGGCTGCGGCCGACTCTCAGGCACCCCCCTCCAACAGCCATAAACGAGGTGACTCCTTTGTGGATGAGAACGCTCCCTTTTCCCCCCCTCCTCCTTCTGCTCCGTCCGCCGAAAACGCCTAGCGCTAGGTACCTCGTGACTCCGGCACTCTGCCTTCTTAGGGAAGTCTGGGTGACGACCCACACTTCCCAAGAAATTCCGACTCGTATACGAGTTTCCGCAGACCACCAAGGATCATCGGGGACGCCCTTTGTCTCCTTGTGGTCTGCTTCCAGTCCGAGGATCTCCGTTCGTCTTCCCCTGTTTGTCTCCTTCTCTGTCCTTTAGCCATGGGAGCCTCCTCATCCCTCCCTGAAAGTTCACCTCTTGAATGCCTGCTTAAGCATCTGGCTACCCTCTCCCTGATGCCTGATATAAAACCAAAACTTCTCCGTAAATATTGCTCCCAAGATTGGCCGACATACCCCCTAGACAATAACAACCAATGGCCTGCAGGGGGAACTCTTGATCCTAACATCACTCGCGATCTTTTTAACTACTGCCAGCGCCTGAAAAAATGGAAGGAGATTCCCTATATCGAAGCTTTCCGCCTCCTCCTCTCCCCGCCCCCTCCCAAGTTCTCCTAGCCTGCAAGCCGCCGCCCCCGCAGAAGCCTCCCGTTCACTCCCTTCCCCTTCTTCTCCTACAACAGCCCTTCTCCCTTCCTCCCCAACCATCTCCTCCCCCATCTCACCTCCTCCACCTTCATTCCCTGCAGATTAAGCCTGAGCCTTTCAGCCCCCCTTTAACTAGGT